TCCCTTTACAGTTACTGCTATCATAAGAATACACCTACAGTATATGTAGGTTTAAAATTCTACAAAAGGCACATTTAATGTCCAACAATGAATGTTTTAGCAAAATGCATATTTGACTCTGCACGCTCCGTCTGTTTAGCGTGCATGTGCGCAGCAGCGCTCGTTCACTCGCGTATGCCTCGCCCACTCCTGACAGCAAGCAAAATGGATATATTTGCATGACTTTCTAACATTTACAGAGGAAAAATATACTCCTGGCATGTCAGTTATGCACTGAGGAAAACACACCGTCTCAAATGCATTAAACAGCACAAATATATTCGCTGTTTGACATGGTGGATCGATTTGATCCATGATCGACATTAAGAGCTGCTCAGTTTTACATACAGTCTAAATCATAAACATCTTAAAGACATCTAATAGACGTCTATTTGACATCTAAAAGGAAACGTCCTATAGACGTATTGCAGATGAGCAAACTCTCTAAAAAATACGTCTTGCAGATGTAAATGCAGACGTCAAATAGACGTCTCCGAGATGTACGTGTGCTATCAGGGTTAAGATAAGCATCCACAAATTAGTTTGATTGTGTGAATTTACATTGTCGTTTATGGAACTGCTTTAGCCCCGATTGTTATAAGAAACACACATTAAGTAGCAATTAAGTAATAAGCTTAGTAATTAGGACTGTATTAGCTTACATTTTATTTACCCATTACAATAGTCCCTTTACAGTTACTGCTATCATAAGAATCCGAACAAATGAACTTGTATCCGATGCACACTTTTTAAACCAATGCATCGCTTCGTTAACTTTTTTTGTGAATTGAAAATCACATTGCTGTATTACATTTGAAGATCTAAGACTAGTATGAGATGTACACAAAAACAAAAAATATCCATATGGGAGCAAATACTTTTTCCACAGTACATTATGCGTTATATGAAGGTGAGTAAAAATGCAGAGAGAAGAGAGAAATACTGAGTGCATGAATGCGATGATATCTGTGTTTAATGACTTACTGTTCTTTCCATATGAAAAAAACAAGCATTTGTCTTACCTTATATGATGGAACAACTTCATCGATGGGTCTGAATTTGTGATTTTCATGTTGTTGTGAATCTCTGCACACTAAACACACAGGCTGTTTGTCCTCCAGACAGAAGAGTTTGAGTTTCTCACTGTGTAAACTGCAGATCTCCTCAGATCCTGATGAACGCCTCTCATTTCTTTCTTTCAGTAATGACTCACACAAGTTTTTTAATGCAAGATTAAGAGGAGGATGTTGATTTGAGGATCTTCTTCTGCAGACAGGACACTCCTGAGCTTTCTTGGTTCTCCAGAACTGTTGAAGACACTCTTTACAGAAGCTGTGACTACATGATAAAATAACAGGATCCTTAAAGATTTCATGACACACAGGACAACTATAGTCATCTTGAGATTGTGATGCCATTTTCACTGTTTGAGCTCCAGCAATCTGAACTTTACTTTCACTTTCTGAAATATGGTTTTAAAAATGAATCACCATAAGAGTCACAAAGATCTGCTGTCTGTTTAGAAACGAACTCCTAAAAAATCCTAGAAAGTGTTTCTGTTCCGTCTCCACTGATCGCTGATTCCTTTTTGCTTTTGAGATATTGAGAAAGAAAGAAGAAATAACAAGTCAGCCTCTTCCTAGTCAGTGAGTTTCTGATCACCTTTGGTGTGTTAAAATAGGTCAAAGATCAACATCAGGATATATTTAGGTTAAACTTTAACAAAATACACTCAAAATTAACTTGCATTGAAACTTTCTCAAGAATAATGTGAGAAAACCTTAAATCAAACACAAAAGAACAATGAAAAGCACAAACATTGACAATGAAAAGAACAAAGACAATTTTTTTTGTACAGTGCGTGCATAATTATTATGCAAGGTGATATTCTGTTCATAATTTTTAAAGCACATTTTAATAATTCCAAATCACATCAATCTTAATAACTACTATTAATTTTACATATAATGATTTATACGTTATATATGAATGTTAGGTCAATGATTCAATCACCCATTCACAAGGACAGTCACTTGCTTCGTTCCTGAATGAATCAGCTGTTTGAACGAATAGATTGAATAAATGAATCCGTGACAAAGTCGCTGGCTGCGTCCGAAACTGCCTACTTCTCTACTATATAGTAGGTGAAAAGCAGTAGGCGAGCGAATAAGTATGTCCGAAACCTTAGTATTCATAAAAGAGTAGGCGAGAATTACCTGGGTGACCTACTAATTCTCGCGAGATTCGGACACGCGTCTACTTAAAGTGCGTCCGAAACCGCCTACTTCTCTATTATATAGTAGGGGAAAAGGGTAGATTTACATACACTTTAAACCATATACATCTTAAATACAATTACTAAATGTCTATTTAATATCTGGTAGGAAAATCTTCGATATGAATTTCATAGAAG